AAAATTTAGAGGAGAGGATGTCATTCATATCATGTTTCCAGAATGGCAGTGGGCTTACAGAACAAGCTGAAAAATTAGTGCAATAACTTGTAATGACCCATGCCCTCAGACTACCCCCTCCAAGTATGTCCAAAGTATTATGATTATGTAGGGTGGTGTTAACTGGGATGATTACATATCAGGATATGGAAAAGAAATGACAGCATCAGACTGTGGTCAGTGTAAAGTACAGCTTTTTCTGACATACCTTTGCCAATAGCTTCTTTTAGAGCAGCCTCCATTTCCACTCAACGTAAGTGAAACTTGTGCTTTGGCTGACAGATTCCCATGAGAATTCCTGTGAGAGGCAGTCAGAGAAAGGACCTGATTTGTATTCTTATTAATGACAAAACTGAGGAAGAGTTTTTCCACTTGGGTTTTCAGGCAGCAAAAACATCTAATTTAAACACTCTTTTAGTTAAATTCTTCACTAAACTGCATAAAAGCACTAGTATTTTTTGAAGGACTTATTGTGAATTTCACAAAAGTCTACTATGTCCTTGACTTAGCAAAATGTTTAAGAATAAAATTAATGTGACTCCTAAATACTTAAAATCAAGCATCTGCTTACTTAGGTGAGGAGCTCTGTGTAATAATTGATGAAGGTTACACATTAAATCTTCCAAGTCTATCTGATCATTTTAAGAATATGCAGTGTCATGACATGCTTCAAATTTAAATACAGTCTGGAAATGCGTGTCTAAGGAGTAAAAAGTATAACTGAAATGTGCTAAAAATACGGTGAAGACCTTTCAAATCCTTTTTTAGCCTTTAATCCATTATTTAGCACTTCATTCTTTAAAAGAAACCTGCAGAGCTATATCCTCAGAAGCACAACCTTGAAACAAAGTGTTTTTAGACATGCACAGAAAGCATTAGCAGCTTTCATTGCAAAATGACACCTGTGTGCCCGTATGTCCTGATCCCCGAAGTCATACTTCACACTATAGGCTTATTCATTCAAAAACACTTCATCTGATTTATATCAAAATACCTGCTCCTGCCTACACAGATTAAGTAAATGTCCAGCTCAGACAGCAAACATTATTGTCATGGAATTTTTCTTTCTGGTATATTATCATACATTTATCATTATGTTGCTTCATACCCACATACCCATAAATATTTGGTTTTGGTTGTAGGCAGACCTGAGTGTCATGGAAAGCTGACCTGCAAGTAAGTAAGAGAAAAATCTTATCTTTGGCCTTGGAGAAAGGGAGATAAAAATGAAGGGAAAGTTTGAGCAGTGTGAGCAAAACTTTTTTTAAAGGTAAATTAAGTAAATGTCCCATAGTCAGTTATTAACTTCACACGGTTAATGCTGCTGTTTGGTCTAGGAAGGTTATCTGCCGTAGCATTTCTTAACATTTTCATAATGTTATCAAGAATTAAAAAGGTAACATTTATCAAACATTCACAGTGTCTGTGAGTCAGAACAAAGAGCAGCCACACAGTTGTGATAACGTCAGGCTGTCAGTTAGAAGCGAGTCCAAATACCTTGGAGATATTTGCTTTTGGATGATGCATTCTCTGTCATGTAAAAATGTAACTTTTCAAAGTACACATGTTACTGATTAAGTTAAAGACAGAAAATCTTATTTCCTTCTAATTACTTCTAAAGCCATATGCAAAAGATGGAGAAGGATAATCAACGGGATGATCCAGATAAAGGAGCCTTAACATGAAGAGAAATCAAAGGGTCCAATCCTCCAAATCCTTCTATGATTAGTCTTTAATCTGCAGTGAGATTGCTCATGTGAAACAGAAGTTACAGGACCAGATCTTAAATCTCCCAACTGCATCTTCCTAAGAGAAGAGGCAGATTAAAATCCAGACCTAATGTCTCATTGTGTCTGGCAGTATTAGAGAAACAATGGCAGCAACCACAACCATTGACTCTAAAAGACTTGTACCATTCCAGAAGGCTCTGATTTGGACAGTTAGGACTAATCCTCAGTGCTGAGAAGGGAAAATTTTGATTACAGCACTTTGTGTTAAAACCCTTACCAATGAAGAAATTGAACCCATGCAAGTGATAATGCCAAAGGCAGGCAAAAAGCTAGGACTCACAAACCTGTTCACTTCAGCAAAGAGCATAATCTCTGATTGAAAATCTATAATTTTAAAGTAAGTGGGGAAAAAAAAAAAAAAAAGCAAAAAAAAGCTGGTTGCTCTGCCTCCTTTTTCTAACATTTGCATCAATGGCTACCGTTGCTGCCAAGTGCTGGAAGTGTCCTGGGGCTAAGGCTAAGACATTGTGTGCTGATTCACATTTTACATTGACAATTATACATGTAGAGGCTATTCCAAGAAACAGCAATATGCAAGTTAGGGAATGGAGAGGCTTGGAAAACATGGAACTAAACAGCCTTGACTACAGTTCAGATCTGTTTTAGGCTCACATCCAACCATTCATTCCCCCATTCAGGTCTGGGCAGATCCTGGTACTTCTGTATTAACAGCTCTCGTCCAGACTTATTTCTGGTCAATAATAAATAACTTGGAAAGAGTAAATAGGTGAATAGAATTGCTAGTTACAATCTCTATCAAATTAAAAGGCATCAAATCAATATTATGTTTCAGTGGGACTCCACACTTTCCAATTCACTCAATACTTCCTAAAATTATAATTTCACTAGTTAATCAGGGATTATTTAAATTATGTGTTAACAGTGGCTTTACTGTCAGTGTGTCTTCCAATATGTCCAGTAAATCCTGCATCAGGAACTGGGACTAGAAGGATGAGAGGCACCTGCTGGTGTTCCTGCTGGTTGGATTCTTCACATCTCCCCTTGGCTGGCAGCCCCTCTTATGGCAGGAGCCAGTAAACAGGTTAGCTCTGCTTCTGCCTCAGTAGGACAGGGGCCATGGATAAAGGGAGGACACAGGACAGCTCCTACTGCTTCTAGCTGTAGAGCTCCCTAGGACCCACAAATACCCCCACTTCTCAGGAAGGAGAATGTACTTCTGCTCTACATTTCTCTTATTTCCCAGATTTGCTAATATTTTAATGTAGAATACATCAAAATTATAGATAACTCAGTGTCTTCTTTCTGCTTTGGCTAGATGTTACCAAGACTTCTTGATGTCCTGACTCGTCTGTGGAATATAACAGGTTCTAGAATAAACCTATTACTCAGACCTGTAGACATTACCAATTCTGGTTCTGTTCCTTATAGGCACGACACAGTATCCCTGCTCAAAATACATTGTGGGTTTTGTAGCAAAATGCAAAATAATAGAACACCATTGTAAATTTATTTGGTTTTCTAATTATGGAATTGAAAATATTTGCTATTTTATTTAATATTTACAACCATCTATATTCTCCTTTGAGAAGTCTTAGTCCAGGATGAACAATCAATTCCAGGCCAAATTCAGATCCTGGTTATAACCAGCAAGTACAGGATAATATTTTGATTTCAGTGACATTGCTCTAGATTTACTCTAATCTAACCAAGATCATTACCAGGCTTTCTTTAAAGACATTGTTCTCTCAGATGCCTTTCCAGATTAATTGGCACAATTACATCCGTCTTTCTCTCTTCCCCTCAGGTCGATCTGTTTGTCAGAGGGCTACAAGCTCTGTTGATTCAGAGCTGAATGAGTCCTGTAGGGAAACGAGTTACAATGCTCCTCCTCATCTCTAAAGGCCTAAACTCTTTTGGTTCTGATGTAGCAGTCACAAAAACACAGTAATCTTTCATTCACCCAGACTTTCTTTTCTTCATTTGAAGGGCAAGAGACACTTCCAGGATGCACTGGGCTGTCTCTTCACATGTGAAGCCCTTCATGAAACCCTCACATGCACTTACTACTTCTTCAGCTTCCAGAATAAAAAGACTGTTGGCATTTACAGTCAGAAGGTAATCTTTCAGTAGAGAATTGCTAGGCCAGAGGGGATAGCTTAGTGATCTGAACATCGGGATCAAATTAAGCCTTGGTGCAAGAGAAAGCAACTCATCTGACTTCAATGGATCTGAGCACATTTACATCAGAGGTGAATTTGTCCTGAGAGTCTGCGTGGCAGCAGAGATTCAAATCCCAGCAGCCACAGATAAGTGAGAAGTGGATTGTCAACTCAGCAATCTGAGAGAATGAGAAACATTCTTAGGAATGCTATCTTAGGAATGGCTACTGTGAAAAAACCTCAACAACTAAGCAACATGAAATATAAGGAGACATTTACAGTTTGCCATGTGTTTACCTAAGTCCAAATAACAGCAGCCAGAGAGATACTTCTGTTAACTTCTCCTGAAATCTGTTAGTAATGGGCTTGTGATGACTGTGTTTTTTCCTGTTCTATTTTATCATTCAAACTCATTTGCTAAATAGCTGACAAATTTTCATCAGAAAATGCTTCTAGATGTATTTCAATTGACCATCCCAGGTGGACTGTGAATAATGTCAATTAAAAATCCATTAAATAAGCACTTCTGAATATCCCCCACTTTTTTGCACAATTTTTCTGCTGTTGTTTCCCTTATGTTAAAAAAATTAAATAAAATCTTTTTTATACCATGAGGGAGCAATTAATACTGCTTTTTTTTTTTTTTTCACTGCACTTTGACTATGACTATTCATTATTTCATCAAGGCTAAGTAATCAATATTTTCATTTAAAAATAAAGACAAAAATCTTTTTATTAAGAACATAAATGCCATTTTCAGACCTGCTGTATGAGACATTCTCAGGGAAAGCAGAAGAAATCAACAGCAGCTTCTATTCTCTCCTCTGTTGTTTAAATTTCCAGGGGAAAAGGCTGTGGGTTAGTAGCATTCAAAGACAATGTTCCAATATTAGAAATCTCCCAACCAGAAAGTTTTATTTTGGGCTTGTGTTTCCCAGACCTCTGCAGTAGCAAAATCCCTCATTGCTCTTAGATGGCAATTACACTTTAAGCAAAAAGATATTGCAGATCATTGATTCCTGCAAATCTCTTCTCCTTTGAAGTAGCAGCACTTGCTTATGAATGAAGATACACACACTTTCACCTTGAAATCACATCAGCCTATTTTCTGCATTTAGTCCTGGAAGCACATGAATTAGCTGTGCCAAACTGGATACATCCCATCAGAAGAAAAGAGGTTTGGTCCTGAGAGCCTCCCTTTAGGCAGGTAAGACACTTGTGTGAGGAGTCTTAGCAGTATGACTGACACTTTTTGTGGGAGTAAGAATTAAGAACAGGAAGCTTATCTTGAACACTCACAGTTCCCCTCAGGTGAGGAAGATCCAAGTCCTGCTGAAGCTTTGTGTCTGAATGTTTGCGTGTGCAAGGATTCCTTGCTGGAGGAAGGCTTGCACAACTCCACTGCATGAAACTACACAGTTGATTGACAGAGAAAAAATAGTTGAATTAAGCTCTTCTTTGATTTTACAGAACATTGACTTCTGCAAATGTGACCTTAAATTCAAATTGATTTGATCTTAAATGCAGGAGATTTCATCTACCTTCCAGGCAAATATGCTCCATATGTTAAATACCAGTAAACATAGTTAAGTTCTCCATTGTCTATGAGTAGAATACAGAACAGCTTTTCTGTAAAGACCAGATTCTCCCTTAGCAGCAGAAGATTTAAAAGGTCAGAACTGGTAATGATCAGCTGAAAACAAGGGCTTGCCTGAAAGCTGTTAGTGTTTGTATTTCCAGTAGGTCCTAAAGACCTTATAGAAAAAAATCAGGTGAAATAGCTCCTCGTGTATTTTTTTGTCCTGGTGATGATTCTTTCTTCTTTACCTTCTGGTGGTGAACAAGAAAACTTGAATGCTGTTTTAGGACATATCATCAAAATTCAGGTATTTCCTCTAAGAAACTGCCACAAGTGCAGTATTTAAACTGACCGCTACTGCAAGGGGTAAGGAAATAACTTTTAAGTTAGTTATCTCATAATTGCTTCCTGTAAGGTTTTGTAATTTTTCTTAAGGATATTGTACTGCTTGACACCTGAAGAAGATTTCTTCAACAATTTTGGCTGCTTATTTGTTATGCAGCCCTCTGATATTGTTCTGGATAGCCTCTATTTTTAGCTCTTGGATCATACATCCTGGGAGAGTGATTCTATTCTTTCTCCCAAAGATAGATTGCCCCTGAGTGCCAAAAGCTGGCAATGGAAAAAAACAAAAACTGCAGCGAAGTGCTCATGGCAGAAAGCTTGATGGAAGCTTTAGGGGACTAATTCTGATATGTTTACTTTATTTTCTTTTTAATGGGTTGTCAGCTGAGGAGAACAAACAGCTCTTCCTGCATCCAGAAGCATCAGCATTTATTGGTCCAGATAAAGCGCAGAGAAGAAAAATTGTTCAGGGTGGGCTATAAGTCATCACCATGTCTCTTCAGGTAAAATGCCAAAGTATTTCTGCTGTACAGTTTTCACTGTGCTGCTCTGTGCAGCACAGACTGGTACCAGAATGTACCATGGCCATTGGAACAATGCAGAGCTGAATACTGAATATAACTTCTGTATCTCACCCTGAAACAGCTGCTCAGGTGAAAGCATTGCTGGCATCATTACCAGAAAAAGCAGTTCCCTTGGGAATGATTTGTGTGTACTTTCAGGAGAAGGGTACACACATTCAGAGCCCTCCTAAAGCTGGGAGGGGTTTGGGAAGGTTTGAAGAGTCAAGGATTGCAGTGTCCCAGCTCTTACAGACCTATTCTGGGAAGGCCTACAGTCTTTATGCTTAAACCAGTCCTGGAACTTGCTATATTTTCCTCTTCACAATCCATATCACCTGTAAAGCCTTGATTTTTCACACTGGCACTGGACCGAGCAAATAGTACACATGAAAATCACTTTCCTAACTTTTCAGGGTAAGGATCTTAGTTAAAACATAGGGGATTGTTTTCAAAATGCCTGTGAAAGAAAACCACATTGATATTGTTTAGCTGTGTTTCAGAATATTGTCAGTAAAAGGGCAAAATTACATTTCCCCATGTCCACACTGGAGGTGTCTGGTAAATGTACTGCTGAGCTGACATTCAGTGTCCTTGTAATGAATCAAGTCTATGTCTTTACAGAACCTGGGGTTTACAGCAGTGCTCTGAGTTTATAGCTGAGGGTAGTCTTAAAGATCCATGTTTCTTTTATGTATTTCAAATTGATTTGAACCATAAGCCTTTCTTTGCAAAGAATTCTCTAGAAAGTAACCCTCCTAATCACCTTGTATATTCTGGACTAAGACCTCAGCTGCCTCAATAGGTTTCATTACAACTGCACCTGTGTTGCTGTGTAAAACTGCCTAGAGGGAGACCACAATGGCAAATAAATCTCATTTCCCTGAATGACTTCTGGTCAGCTTTAGTGTGGTTCTCTTGAGCTGGCCAGTTTTGAAACTTGTGGACACTGGTTCTTTTTAACCACTATTATTGTCCATGTCAATGAGTCAAACACTGAGCAGCCTTTAGCTATCTGATGACAATGACATTACCCTCAAAGGCACCCAAGGACATTCCCAGACTGTTTTGATGATAGCCTAAACATATGTTGATGCCAGGCTCTCAGAAGGAGCAGTGATGTCAGGTGTCAGCATACAGGGAACCCAGGGAATTGCTGGAACCCTGTCAGACACAGGGCGAATACAGCCAACAGGGATCAGCAAAACCAAAAGCTGGCTGGGCAATTCTTGAATTCCACTGTTTTAGGGATGTGAGAAAGGTAAGGTTTCATACTTTATCAACAGTATGTCCAATAATTCCAGTCCCATATTCTGCTCAGGCATAATCATTCATCTATATCTGTTAATGACAATTTAATTGCATATCCTTATCTCATAAATACGGAAATATTTGTATATAGTAATATGTGCTAAAGAACACATTGATTTTCAGTTTGCCATCAATTTCAGTTTGCTATTTATATACAGCATATGGACTCCAGTTTTCCCTTGACACTGGCATTGTTGAAACAATCACTTGATCTATTAAATTTTTTGAGTAGCTCTTTAAATTATAAATAGTGCCCAGTTGTTTATTTCAAGTGCTTTCAGTACTCCAAATGTGGTTTAATTGTATTTGAAAACTGCCAAATATCAATGGAGATCAATCCTGTCCCATTGATCTGTTTATGCAGTTAAACATGTAGAATATCAGATTCAGGCTCTAACATATTTAAATACTCCTCTATTGATCAGCTGCTGCCATGATCCAGCACAGATGATGGCATAGATGATTACAGGAAACTGCCTGCTCTGGTTTGCTCAACTGATACCTCCATCTTTCAAAAGGCATCATGGAAAAACTGACCCACAGCTCAGAACCAGAGGGTGAGTCAGATGGATACACAAACTTGCTGTATAAAAATGTTTAATATCCATGGAAATATTTTAGCACCTGATGTGGGGAAAAAAACCAACATGCTGAAAAGCAAAGTACATTAAAATCCTGCACCTTTCTGCCTTAATGGGGTAAGAGATGCGTTAGGGAGCTCAGACAATCTTTGTTCCTTCCCAAAAGCAGACAAATACCCTCCAGGGCTGCTTGTCCAGCTACAGGCTAAAGGTCTAAACTTACGATGCAGAACTGTCCTCTTTAGAACATATGGCAGAAAATGCAGTAATGCCAGATCTGGCAATGATGGTACTTCAGTACTTCAGGGTGACTATGTGATCCTGATTAGAGAGCTCCACAAGCAAGGGAAAAGGACTTGTTTCAACCCAAAACACTTATGAACAGATTTTCTACAGCTAAGTAAATGTCCCTTTTATTTGTTAGCTATTTTGATTATCCATGAAAAGGCTGACCAGGAAACTCTGACCTGTTGTATTTGTAGTTCAGAACTAACAGGGCACAGAACTAACAGAGTGAATGAATGGGTAAAGACAAAGTGTTTGTTCCCAAAACCATGTACAGATCAGGGCCAGGTATCAGAGGAAAATCATTCCCTGGCCAATGGTGAGGCTTCAGTGGAGCAGACAGTTCTGTGCTGGTATCTCTCAGTCAGCAGAGACATCCAGAGAGCTAAATGAAAGCTGCAAAAGGCAGAGGAACATGAGGGTTTGGATCTTGGGAAAAGAGGAGGAGGGGGATGGATTAAAGGGCAAAATTTTTCTAAAGGACTGGAAGAACCTTTCTGATAAGAAGAAAAAAGGAATCTCATTTATAGTTCCATAAAGTGTCCCATGCATGTGACAATATTGCAGAGAGAGGAGTGATGCCAGGAAATGCCAGGAGTGTGGTTCTCCCATTCCTAAGCACAGGGCCTCAGAAAAAAACCAGCATTGCTGTGGATGAATGAGCAGAGTTCAGGCAGTTCAGTAGATCTTTCTGAAAGCCGAATGCTTTATTTCTTTGGTTTATTTTGAAATTCCAGCTAGCTGTGTAATACTGTGGTGAGAGCAAAAAACAAATACATATAAATTGCTCTGTGGTGTTTCAGGTGAGTGAAATGCTTGGAATGCAACCACCCATCATTATTATTATTGTGCTTTGTCTGCTAGTTAAGGTAAGTAAGAAATTGTCCTTGTCAAATTTTCTTCAAAACTGACCCTTGCTTCAGGCCTTAAGTAAACAGCCTTCTCTGGGAAAGCTGCACGTGGTACTGTCCTTATCAGATAGGTACTTTTTTCTGAATTGTACACAAGACAGTGTTTGAACAAACTCTAAATGTTTTTCAACTTCTCTTCACAGTCCAAAGTAAGACTAAATCTAATTTAAAGTAACTTACATACCCGTTGTAACATTCTATTAACTGGTTCTGAAATTAATTCATATGGTCTCAGATAGGAAGCAAAATACTTTTTCATTATTAGAGAGAATTATTGTTTTGTTTACAGCAAGTTTTGAGGACACTACTGCATCTGCTTTAGACACAGGACTCCACAGCTGATGATTGTCTTTAGCAGGATTTAAATATTTCAGCAGCTAGTGGAAAATGAATTTTTTCAGAGATAAAATACTAAAATTATTTTGCACATTAAAATATGAAAAATGGAATTTGAGTTTAGTAGACTTCTTATCAGGAATCAAGCATTGCAGGCAATACTCTGCTGGTAGCAACAACTTGAACTAGCACTCATCAATGTTTCTAAATTACTAAGAAGAATCTAGTTAATCTTTAGTTTCTTTACACCTCCTGGCAACCTTGCAAAGATTGCTATGAGTTAATATAAATCCCATAAAGTTCAAAAATGTCCTATGACTACTAGAACTTTGTGGGAAACACTAATAACCAACCTAGAGGTTACACTACCAAACGTTTGTTGAAGGTACCTTGGTATCTGCATGACTGACAGGGTGATGAATGATGATTGCTGGCTTTGAACAAGCGTTCTTCCTCCAGCAAAGTCAAACAGACCTTGCAGAGGAAGTTACAGAATTTGCTTTCTGTTGAGACAACTCAGAGATTGAAATCCATAAGCCAAAAATTGAAAACTTGGAATCCAGCTTCTGGAGTGGATGATTCCTCTCCAAAGAATCTCCCTGGAGCTCTCTTATCACTGCTATATACTGACTAAAGACTCTGATACCCCTGTGCTCACTGGCAGAAACATCGCCTGCAGAGCCCAGAACAGCAGTCAGAGAAGAGATGCTGCCTTATCCTGTCTGCCAGGCAAATGCAAAATACCTGCCCAGGATCGGTATAAATAATATTTGACTGTGTGTGCTCAGCAGATTCTTTACTGAGAGCTTCAAAGCAGGCAGAGAGAGCAGTAAATGTTGTCTTTGTATGTATGAATCCGAAAGCCTCAGTTAAAATTCACCATTTATGTTTAAAGGGTTAACAGTCAAATGATCTCTCTTAACACAGCCAACACACATTATAGCATTCATTCATAAATGCGAGCAGAATGTCATAGAAACTGGAAAACATAAGGATGGAAGAGGGCAAAATATGCAGAAAGCTATCCTATCCCCCTATGGCCTGAAATTTGCTCAGGGTATTATACATGTGATTAGCAACTGTCTGTCAACTAAAGGAAAAAAACGAGTGGTAGGATTCTTCTATCTTTTGTTTGTTGGCATGTTTGCTAAGACCTGCCTCATAATGGGTTAACATTTCAAATGTGAAGCCAAGTCTATCAATTGTATTGTTGTGGCCTGATCATCAGGACCAAAATGAGACACATTTATCTTTAAAATACCTCTATGAGTGCTAAGCATATGTGTGTATATGAAAGTACAGAAGAGTTTGATGAGGCAATACTATTGATTATGAATGGACATGGGCTAATACACATAAAAAGACTGGTGTGCAATACATGTGCAGAGGGAAGAGTTAGGCATTGCCACAACCATTCTTTCTGCAGCCCTAGAGCTGACATATCCTAATATAACTGCAATCTTCACCTTCACTATTAAAACAGGACTCAATATGGAATATACAGTAGTGGATACAAATAAATGCCTGCACATACACATGCTGTACATATATACAAAGCATGACTCAAAATACTTTGAAATCAGTAAACCTGTTTTAGTGGGGCCACGGCAAATAAATGTGATGTTCTTAATATAAATTTGCAATTTTAAATTTTAATGCATTATAAAAACCTAGTAAATATTTTTGTTTAGTATCTCTAATAGGAGATATTTCACACCTTCACATATAAGTTTCATAAACCAGACATTCATCATAAGCATGCATAATTTTGTCTTTCTGGCCACAGGATTTTCTGGATTTATGTGCAGGATAAACTCTGATAGTCTATTCACACCCTGCATTCTTAAGATGCCACTCAGAGTATCTCATAGTGAATTCACAGTTATTGCTGTTTCTTTAGACTTCACTCTACAGCTTATTTCAAAAGCACAATGAAATTTCTTAGGAGAAGGAAAATAACATTTAATCTCTTAATATAATGACCAGGTATATGAATCAGTTTACCAGCATTTGTTCCATTAAAGAAATATAGGAGCTTAGTTTCAAAAGGTCAGTAAGTTCTGAAACACTCTTGATTCTCTTCCTTGTCTGTAGCTGAGGAAGAGCAGAGACCACTTTATTCTCAACAGTAAAGTAGTAAGCTCTACTTAGCTAATTTCCCCACACACTCTGTAGCTCACTGGTGACATATGCTCAATGCTTGCCCAGGTTTAAAGGAAAAGGAACTCACATTTTTCCAAAGAACCAAGACCACAGAGAAGATGAAATATAAGATAAAGTAGTAACATTGCAGTGGAGTGAACCCAAATGGGACCTTGATTTTTTTAAGGTGACATATTACAGACATAAACCTGAGTTGGAGAGATCAAATCTGTATCAGCAGCAAGAGCTAAGCTCTCCAAAATTTAGCAGGGCTCAGATCTCCTGGCTGGGCTTGCTCACATCCCTCTCTGAGAAGAAAATGTAATAGGAAACTCTAGCAAGAACATGTATTTTCAGCTCCATTATTTGATTAATATTTGTAGAGCACTTTCTACGTTACTCATACTGCATAGCATGCATTTCTCTTGAAAAGGATTCAATCCACTTTTATACTGACTTTTATCACATTCAGGAATGCACAAATACTATGCTTTACATACATTCCATCATCCTGTGCATACCCTTTGTTTATATATCTGTAATAGCAATGTCCCTCAGACAGTTTTCTGGCAATAAAGCCAACCGCCAGTAGAACTGAAAGTAAGTTTGAGTGAAAAATAATTTTGCCCTCCAGAAAAGCACGGGCATGTTCAAACACTTCCTATCAGGCATGGTCATCAGGAGTGTATTAGTTGTTGTAGGTCAAGAACATGGAGATTGTTCCATCATTTTATCAATTTATGTAATTTTCCATACCTGAGAATGTTACCTCACTCTAATTTACCAGTACAGATACAGCATCTGTTTTTACAGTCAACTTACAGTGAGTCATATCTGCTTGTATAAATACATAGCTATAGTACTAAAACCATGAAAAAGAATACCTCATAAATAGCTCATAAGGAAAAATAGATTAGTACTTAATTTCACAGTGTTGGGCTCAATAGACCAAGGTTGTCAGAGAAGCGCAGTTATAGATTAGTTACGCCCATTTTTGTCCTATAAAATTTTAAGCATTTTATTTTCATTATTACTTATTTTCTAAGGATAACTCCAGACAGCAAGGTTTACTAGTGTGATTTCATTAGTAGAATTTCATTCATTGGTAGCATTTCAATTGATAGCTCTGAGAACAGAAAGAGAATAGAAGTGCTCTTGCTGGGAAGGAAGTGTCTGAGTGCAGAGGAGGATGAAGTATCTGCTGGTTTTTTGGTCTGGATGCCACTGCAAAATTTTAGCCATGGACTGCCACAGAAGACCTTGCAATAGCTTTCACAAGAACAGTTCAATGCATTTCACTTAGTTGTCACTTTTTTCAGAAACAGTGTTGTGCAATGGCAGTGGTGTGGAATAGAAGCTGAATTTCACTGTAGAGATAGCTACATTTCAGTGGTGGGTGAAGTGATCCCAGCAGACTTTGTGAAGCACTTTGAGATTCTTACAGATGAAAGGTGCTATATAAATGTCAGGTATTGTTATACACCACTTAGGAAAAATGTTCCCATTATTCGTCTGGATTTACTGTTGAGCATTTAGAGATAATCGTCATTGCTGATAATAATAGTAAGAACAGTATCTTGAACACTGCAGACTGTGCAGATTGTCCTGTATTCTACTGGCTTGTAGCAGGAGGTTGCATACTGATAAGAAGGAGGAATTTTTTGATAATGTGATTATAGAGAACAAGCTATTTTTCATATTATATGGTCAAAGTGCAGCAGTCAGTTATTTACATGGCTGCATCATTTACAGCCCAGGATTGTTGAAAAGACTCAGCTGAAAGGTAAGCTGCTTTCATGATGATATTCAAAACAATATAGTATAACATCTCTCTGTAGAAGGGCCATTTGTTTTACTGTATAACCTCTCTATACTTGTCTAAGTTCTGCTCATTCATTTTATTAATGGATTTTATTTAAATGCATGACGGATGTTTCTAACAATGCTTACCCAAGCACTGATTAGAATTTGTTAGAGGGATTTCAGTGTTTATCTTAACATGAGCAGTTTTGGATTTTGGTGTTTTGTTTAGGGTTGGGGGCGTCACTTCATTTTAGCATAATGGAGTTCCAGATGTAGTTCAGTATGGATTTTAACAGGAGTGTAAAAGGCAGATGGCATTTGCCAGGTAGATGAGTAATTTCAGCAGTGCACTAACAGATCAAATGGTCTTTATAGTACTGGAAAACAAACCTGCCCCAGCAATTCTCTTAACTGAGTAATACCTGAATATAAAGAAACTCACATTTCCCTTTCCTCTTCTGCTTCCCAGTCTCTCCTCTCAGATTTCTGTCTTCCAGTTGGGGTATCTCATTAACCTGCGGGCTCTGTCCCTGCCTCATTATCTTCTCCTGAACATCTGACGGAGGCAGAAGTGAGGCTGTGTTAACCCACTGATTGCTGCTGACCGACTGATGCCCCTGAGCCCTTTTGGAAACAGCTTTGGATGAATAAAAGCTGCTGGAGAATGTGGTCCAGGACTGACTATTGGCTAAGTATAGGAGCAATCTACAGTGGGGATTCCTTTTATTAAAACCTTGGCAAAACCTTTGTGTGGAAGGGAGCTGAATCTATCTCGGAGAA